CACAGACACACACAGACACACAAACACACACACACATACGCACGCAAGCACAGACACAGACACACACGCACACACACACACACACAAACACACGAGGACGCACCACGTCGAAGGTGAGGTGCTCTGCAACCCAATCGCGGCCCTTCTTAAACTCCTCCTCCAGTCCCATAATCTTCAGCGTGTCCAGCGCATCTACAATTGTCGCACCCATCTTCGTGCTGGTGGTGGCGGCGAAAGTGGTGGCAATGGTGGTGGTGGTGGTGGTGGTAGTAGTAGTCGGTGAAATGAGATGGTTGAGGACATGGCACAACGGTGAGCAGTGGCAATGCACAGTGCAAGCTGTACGTTCTAACTTCACTCAACACAAACGTCATCAAGGAGCCATCACAACATCATGGTGGCACTCATACGGCATGCATACTCCCCTTCCTATTCCCTATTCCCTTTTCCCGCTTCCCTTCCACCAACCGGCCAAAGATGCTTGCAGAGTGCCCGCGCTTGGAGATGGGCATGAGCTCGTTCTCGCCAAACGCGTGCGCCACATATCCGTCCCACGCCGTCTTCATCATCTGCATTGCCAGGGCGACGCGAGGCAGCCAGGCAGCACGTGAACACACATGTCACGGCCACTAAAGATGCGCACACACGCACATCACGGCCGTGCACACGCACGCACACACACACACACACACACACACACACACACACACACACAATGGCCCAAAACAGCAAATGAGCACACAAGCGCACCTTCTTGACGAACTCGCGGCGCTCCTTGGTTTGAGGAGAATCGTACGATACACCGCCTGCATTGTTCGACTTGACAGGTTGATACTGCTGCTGCTGCTGCTGTTGTTGTTGTTGTTGTTGCTGCTGTTGTTGTTGTTGTTGTTGTTGTTGTTGTTGACCGCCGTTCAGCAGCTCCTGGATGCGTTGTTGCCTTTCCGCTTTCTCTGCGTCGCTCGGCTCGTGCAGGGCTGGTTGCTGCGGTGCGGGCGGCGCCACATGCTGGGGCTTTGGCGGCGCCGGTGGCGGCAGCGGCGGCTTGTTGTGGTCTTCCTCAAACGGCTGGTTGTGGAAGTGGTCGTTGGCGATCTTGTGGGATTGTGCATCGTTGTTTAGCGCGGACCCTTCAACCTGCTCACGCACCATGGGCTCATCCATGTAGCTGAGCCGCTCTGCACACACACACACATAGGGCGAGACACACACACATACACACACATAGAGAGACACACATACACACACATACACACACGCATCGCAGTGTACAATAACGTGACGCCAGCGAAGCAGTTCGAATGAATGTGCATGTATTGCTCTGGCGCAGCGTGTGCACTGAAGGACGATTGGTGCACAAGCAAAAGGCAACAACCAACACGACAGCAAAAGTACGCGCCCACATACTCGGGCCGTCGACGGGGTTGCGATCGCCGCTGAGGTCCGGAACAAAGTAGAAAGCACCAAAGAGCACAAAAGCAAAAGCGACGAAGATCAAACCAAGCACCATCTTCTCCGGGCTCATTGTTGATCTGCAGCAGCAGCACCGAACAGCACAGCACAATGGAGGTTGTGAGGCAAGCGAAAGGAAGACACAAGTTCAAGCACGCGCGCGCAAGTGACTGTTGTGGATGCAGTGGTTGGTCGTTGTGCTGGATGCTGTGATGTGATCCCGCTTGCCAAGCAAGCACGATTGCAGTCATGATAGCAGATCAGCCTCAACAGAGACACGCACACCCACACGCACACGCACACAAACACACACACACACACGCACACGCACACGCACACGCACACAAACACACAAACACACACACATACATGCCCTCTGCATTTCCAGTGTCTTCAAAGCTGTACCTTCTTCGTCGCTTGAGGACCGCCGCAGCGCGGTCGTGTGTTGAATAGTACGGCAGCATGCTTGCACGCACGACGCCCCAAAGTCAAGTCAGAACCCACCACAGCAGCTGTTCAAACCCACAAGCAAAGATCAGCGGGACAGCGGGTGAGCACGGGACACAACACCGAAGCACAGGGTGTAAGAGGGAGCAATCAGCACGCACCACAACACCACCACACCAAGCGAAACACCATCAACCAACCGAGCAAGCAAGTAAGCCACTCACTCGCCATCTCCACTCACCTCCACAAACACCCAAACAGCCAACAACGCACCCAAAAATACAAAACTAGGACAACGACCTAGAAGAAGACCAGCGATGATGCACAAGGACTTGAGGGTGGCGGAAGCGGAGCACGTTGGCCAACACGTGGTGGCCACCAACGCCATCCAGGTCAGTGCGCTTGCCGTGTATGTGTGTGTATGTGTGTGTTTGTCTCTTATGATATGCGTACTTCGCTCTCTCTCTCTCACTCACTCACACTCTCACTCACACACACACACACACACACACACACACTCTCTCTCTCTCTCTCTCTCTCTCTCTCTCTCTCTCTCTCTCTCTCTCTCTCTCTCTCTCTCTCTCTCTCTCTTTCTCTGTGT